AAAAAAAAAAAAAAAAAAAAAAAAGCATATGTTAAATAACTAAAGAGACACAGAACATATTACACAGTATAAGATCAGTTTGTTTAGGAAAATCACCTTTCTAATGTAATTCATGAAAAAATTTTCACTGCACAAATGTATATACTAATGTATAAAATTATCTGCTTTTTAAAACAAATCTTATGGAACTGTATTCTTTTTCCTGGTTTGGTCAAAGAAAAAAATTAACTACTGCTAGTTGAATATACAAAATTGCCCCCAGATCTGTGCCCACAAGCAATCCCGTCTAGCCCTCTGTGGAACCGGAGGGGGTGGTGATTGCCCTGCAGGGCAGCGTTATCAGGATGGTGGTCCAGTGATTGATTCAATCTTGGCAACTGCAGTGGGCCGGCCGCAGTGCTGGGCTGCTGGGGCAGGAGGGCGGCTCCCAGCTCCAGGGGAGCTAGGAAGCAGCTCTTTAAGAAAAGAAAAGCTAGTCGGATCAATTCTGGCATTGGCTTCCTGCTCTGTACATGTTATTAAACCTTTTCATAAAAAACAAACAAACAAACAAAAACACACCAAAAAGCCATCCCCTTTCCATCAGAGCAGTGAGTTACAAACTACTCCCTTTATAAGAACTGCATGATTCAGGTATGAAACAGTGCGGATGTTGTCCAATAACTTAATTACTTGTGCAGCAAAGCGTTTGAAATGTTAGCTAATGACTTGCCCAATAAAAACAGTGGGAACTGAGCTCTATAATTTACCGTATTCCCCAAAAACCAAGTTATGTTGATAATAAATATTTCAAACAATCTTTATTATTAAAATTATCTATTCACAAGGTTTCCCTATACATGAAATTATACTAAGGAGAGGTTTGCAATCCTTTATAACTTAAGCCACCAAACCAAATTCATATGATGAAGCTGAGGTGACGACAGATCGCACAAGGGCTTCGACGCCGCCTGGGTCCGAGGTGAGGCGTGGGCTGGCCATGCTGTCTCACGTCTCTCAGACCCCAGCAGACACCTGGAGGATTAGTTAACGGGATGAGGTATTTCCCACCACCGCAGATTCCGCCACGAATATCTTTTCAGCAAACTGCTGAAAGAAACTTAAAATTCCAAGGGAAGCCCTTGCGCACGTGACTGAGAATGTCTATTTCATGAGTAACGGCCGAGCAGTTGCTGGTTCAGTGGCAAATAATTTAGTTCCTGTTCAGAAGCAAAACTATCTCTCATCATTCTTCCAGCACAAAACATGCCTCGGCAAAAACGTTTCTAAAGGCAATGTGTATGAGAAAGACAGGGTGATGATCCCCTGAGAGCTGCCCCACAGCCCACATCCCATTTTTGTCACCTCAATCACCATGATTTACGCCCAGAACTCCCGTCTGTCTCCAGCCCCTGAATCTCCCCTGAGCTCACCTTGGCTTTCCATCTCCCTTCCAAGTGGCTCTAGGTGGTGGCAATTCCAGGGTATTTTCGCCCATGTGGGGAATCTTACAGGCTGTTTGAACTCAACATAACTCACATTGAACTCCTCTGGCCTCCTGCCCTCCCTGTTTCCACTCGGGCCTCTCACAGCTCAGCCTCGTGGTCGCCCTGTGGCCATTCCCTTCCTCCTGCACGCCCGGCCTTTACCAGACACCAGACTCTCACTTCTCTTCCTTGGGCTCTCCCTTCCTTCAGTCCTTCACGGTCAAGCCTCACTGACAGGAGAGGCCTTTGCCTTCTGCACAAATTATTTTAACAACCTTCTGACCAACTTCTCTGTCTCTGGCTTCTTCCCTTGACACCGCAGTCTTCTATAAACACCAGGATTACCTTTCTAAAACCCAGATCTGGCCCGGCTGGGTGTGGCTCAGCGGTTGAGCGTTGACCTAGGATCCAGGAGATCGGGGTTCGATTCCCGGTCAGGGCACATGCCCGGGTTGTGGGCTGCAGCCAATCAATGACTCTCACCATTGATGTTTCTATCTCTCTATCCCTCTCCTTTCCTCTCTCTAAAATCAATAAAGATATATTTTTAAAAAATTAAAAAATAAATAAATAAATAAAAATAAAATAAAACCCAGATCTGGTCTTGCTGTTCCCCAGACTCCTAACCAGCAGGGATGATCCCACTGCCTGCTGAGAGCTCTAGAGTTCAGAAGCTCTTCCTTTCCTGCTAACGTGCCCCATGCCCCCTGCACCAGCAGGCGCCTGCAGCTCACCTGGTGGACAGGAGAGCCTTGGGAGCACAACTGGTGGGAATGGGCAAAGAGTGGAAGTTTGAAAAGAGGGAAAGATTGAAGAAGGCTAACCCTCAACCACTTGCCTTCCTCCCTCCCCAGCTCGATGCCAAAATGCCCAGAAATACCAGACTCTCTTTTCCTAGCAAATATTTTCATAAAATGTAGACGAGTTCTGATTATTTTATGTATGTAAATGACACATCAGTGTAGTCCAGTAAAGACAAAATTCTCAAGTATCAGATCAAAATAGATAATGAAACAGATGAGGCAAGGAAGAGTAAAGAGAAGAATTAATTGCAATACTTGCATATTTTCACACAGTTACTAACAGGGGCTGTGCTGCTCAGTGGACAAGAGAGGGAGAGAGAAGTTCCGAGTGTGGTCAGGGAAGGGAAAAACAGAAACCCTGGCTGGAATCAGCAGGTACCGGTGACCGCAAGTTGACATTAAGACAGAAGAGAAAATAAGTGACCCCAGGAAGGAAGACCCATCCCTGAGGGTTTGTGCCAGTAGGAAGCTCCCGCCCAACAGGCACAGCCCTTTAGAAATTCTCGTGGCTGCTTCTCAAGGTCTCTGCTTAACAACAGCCCGGGCCTGAACCCAAGTCCTAGTGCTGCGGGCAGATGTCTTTATAAGTTCGAGAGGTTAATATCTAAGGGTACATTTGTGAGGACACAGGAGCGGCAAAAACCTGTGGTCTTCTGCCCTTGTCCCTCTAACTATCAAACTGAATATATTATTATTATTCTACCCAGCCCCCAGCAAACAAACAAGCAAAAAACAAAAATCTTGCCCTCTCTGTAGTCTTCCACCGCCTAAGCTAATGGCAAGTCCATCCCCCCAGTTGGAAGTCATCCTTGATGTCGCTGCCCCCCAAGCGCACCCACCCACCCACATTCCACACTGTATCCATTCTGGAATCCCACGGGCTTCAAGGTCAAGCTCCTATCTGACCACCTCTTACCACCTCTACTGCTACCACTGTGGTCCTGCCTGGGCCCAGGAGCCAGGGTGGACTTACTAATACGTAAGTTAGATCATGCCCCTCCTCTGCTCAAAATCCTGGCTCTCCATCTCCTTCTGCATAAAGTCAAGGTCTCTACAGGGGCAGACGAAGCCCTTGGGATCAGCTTCCAGGTCGTTTTCTCATCTCTCCCCCTCTTCTCTCTCCTCCAGCCACACTCGCTTTGCTTTTAAGGCTTCTGCCCTGAGCCTCCGTACCTGTTGTCTTCTCGGCTGGAACACGTTCCTCAGAATCTGCATTGCTCCTCTCCTCACATCCTTCAAGTCCCTGACAACTCCCTGGAGAAGCCCTTCGGACCCATAGCCATAGCCCTCATTTCTTACTTTATTTTCCTTATTGAAGTTTTCCACCTTTAACCGAGGTAAATGATTGTTTATGAAATTCTGCCCCCACCCCCACTAGACTGCAGGCTCCGTGGGAATAGAGATTTCTGTCTGTTTTGTCCATTGTTACATTCCCAACACTTAGAACACAACCTAGCACGAGAGGCAGTCACTAAATATTTGTTGAACACAGGGTGGGGCAAAAGTAGGTTTACAGTTGTAAGTATTCGAAACACAGAGTTTATTCTTCTATTATTCACTGCATTATTTTCCATATGAACAGCTGTCAACCTCTTGCCACACCCTATATGTTAAACTTCAAGGAATGCTCTGCTATGAACTACCATCCCAGGAGTACCACTGCATAAGATATTAGCTTGTTAGCAAGTCAGGTCAACTGAGGGACTCTGCTTATATTCAAGAACTACTATTCCCTCTAGTTATTCCATCCTACTCCTGCTCCCTACAG